GGGGGGGGGGGGGGGGGGGGGGGGGGGGCTGGGAACTGGGAACTAGGAACTCGGAAACAGGCCTCCCCTATGAAAAATTTCTGTATTCGCCACTGCCTTCCACACTGACTTCAGCTACCGACGACGATTTATATGTTGCCGGAGAAAATCTAGCAAAAAATATATGACCCCCACATAACTCAATAGTATCCCATTCGGCACAACGTGGTGTCAACATTGAGAAAGGGTTGAAACGTTGAGACTTGGTTGAAGTTGAGAATTTGACGAAGAATCAACATCGATTAAATTGCTAGCTAAATCGATGCTAGCTATTCGTAATTAACCGTATTTTCAGCATTTGGTGACTACTCGTAAATTAGCGAAGTCGTTCAGAAGCTTTTAAGCGGAAATTTGTTTTCCATCGTAGTCTCACTGTTGTTTCTGCATGGAGTAATCCACATAACAGAAAATAGGTTCTACGAATCGACACGAGATGTCGCCAAACAGCCGATTCAACAATTCTTACCTTGGTGCCCTGAAATAAACAGTACCCTGAATTTTTTATGCAATTCCCGATCCCTTCCCATGTACAACATGAGGGAAGGCTTAGGAATTTCTAGATAGACCTGTTTAAGGAGGTAATCGGCAGGAGACTCGAAGGCCAGTGGGTCTGAGGAGACGAGCTCAATTATCCTATATCTCCACATGACACGCGCCCTAACCTGTGCTCTTCCATGGAGGATAGAGCATGAAAACATGCCCGCAGGGTTGTTTCCCCTCTACTGGACAGAGAGAGTCGAGTCATGTAAGTACAGTACTCAATTCGAATTCTGCTCCTGTAAAGGGAATGAAACTTTGATGGTCCTTTGCGTGGGATGATTGTACTCAATAGAGTACTGCTAGTATCATGCCATTAGGGTACTCTCCGTGGGGTTATCGAATCTATGTTCAATCTCATCGGCTAATTAACGCTCTTTCAGACTCTGGAGGAGGTACTATAATGCCCGTACGTCGACAGTTCAACATTGCACAGCAACAACTTTTCTACGTTAAACTGTGTTTCATTTCAAACTTTTCTCTACATTGAAGCAACATTGTTACGTTGAAAAGTCAACCTTTTCTCAACGTTGACACAACGTTGCTGAGCTGAACGGGTAAGAAATTGGACGGCGGGCCCCGTTTCATTCCTTGCACCAGAGGCCATGCCAACCACGCTACGCCACTGGTAGTTGAATGACATGACCGGTTGAGGTTGAGGTTTCAAAGGTTTTTCTGTAGACTAATCTTAGCTTACAAAATAAATCGTGACCGATTAGCCCCACCTTACCCTAGTAAAATATCATGAGAAAATTTCGAAAATAAATTCCACCGAAGTCGGTGTCGCAAGCGGGGTCCCTCAGGGCTCGGTCCTGGGACCACTTCTGTTTCTGGTCTGCATAAACGATTTGGATCTAGGCGTAGAGGGTATGATAAGTAAATTTGCCGACGACACCAAAATCGGCTTTTCTAATAGGGGGGAGGCGGATAGGGCTAGAGTCGAGCGAGATTCTTTTTGGATGAGTGGAACAAGAAATGGCTCATGTGGTTTAATAAAAGTAAATGTAAAGTTCTCCACGTCGGTCGAGGTAACGGTAGGTCTCTCGACGCGTTCGGCGAGGATAAATTGGGGCAGGCAAATGGAGAGAAAGATCTAGGAGTTTCTGTCGACGAAGACCAAGTTTTCCTTGCACGCGCAAACGACAGTAACTAAATGTAACTGGGTGCTAGGTTTCATTCGTTGTTCGGTTGCAAGTAGGACTTCGCGCGTTATTCTTCAGTTGTATGCAGCACTGGTAAGACCCCAGTTGGAATATTGCATCCAGTTTTGGAGGCCTACAAATAAGGGTGAATTGTTGGCGCTCGAGGGGGTATAGAGGAGGGCCCAAAGATTAATAAAGGAGGTTAGGGACTTCCGTACGAAAAGCGTTTAGAAGAGCTGGGACTGTACTCGCTCGAGAGAAGATTAAGGAGGGGCGATCTCATCCAGGCTTTCTTGATAATTAAAGGTATAGATAACGTCGAGTGTGCTAGGTTCTTCAAGTTCGATGGCAGCAAGAGAACGAGAGGTAATCAACTCAAGTTGCGTGAACCGCAGGTGCTGCTCAGGTTAAGACAGGACTTTTAAACTTGTAGAGTGGTAAATGCGTGGAATGCGTTAGACGACGGCGTAGTGGTTGCCCCTTCCGTGACTATTTTAAAGAAGAAACTAGATGCTTTTATGGACAAGCAAGAAGGGAGCCAATGTTGACTTAAGGGACTAGGCAATAAGCAACTAAGATATGTTTTTTTTTTAAATCACAAAACTCACAAAAATACAAACATGTAGCTTTAAGAGGAGTAGGCCTACCCTAACATTAAGGAACGCTCGACCTCGACACGTGGTATCCCAATGGGTGTTATCGCCTCTTGAATGGGTGTTATCGCCTCTAAACAACCTTGAACCTTAAATTGATACCTAGGCCTTTCTTATTCACAAGAATAGTCTCTTTTTTTTCAACAAATCCTTGATATGACAGAGAGCATTTTTCGAAAGAACATTTACATTTTGGATTTTTTATGCAATCTCATGCGCGTAGGATCGTATGTGTGCAAACACCGAATGTGTGTGGTGATGTGTAGGGTTCCAGAAGTCGATGCTGGACTGTCGGGACTGCGAAAGCGCTCAGCTGGTTCACCCGGAATGCATGCCGATCCCCGTGCCCCAGAATGACCCCTTCTATCCTCCCGTGAACGCGACCAACGGACGTCCTCATTGCATCACCTTCGTCCGCTCCCTTCCCGGACAGACGAAGCTCGGTGAGAAGATGCTCTCCACTCCACTCGTGTCTACCTTATGTTTTCTCTAAGATTTCTTGTCGTGCCATCGATACTCTCATTTCCTGCTCGTCGTCTACAAGCCGAAGAGACCTGCTCCGTTTCGCGTCGAGGTCATGTCGATGGTCTGAATGCTCTTGTATTACTTTCGAATCGACCAATATGGTAAGACCTAAAGTCTCTCGAGTCCGCAGACTCGAGGACTTTTTACGAAGGACCGTCTTAGCGTTAGGCATCTCCAGTTACCCAGGTAACCCACTCACGTTGTATACAAACAATAATATGTGGATGTAGAATGCTGTCACCCTGATGTTTTGATAATGTTGTTACGATATCTTCGCCACAACATTAGACAAGTAACTAAACGTCACAGAAAAAGAGCTTACAAATTAACAAGAAATAATTGTGACGAAGCTGTAATATTTTACGGGTCTTTTAATATTTTTTTTTTAATTACGACCACATGGAATTTTGTGGCTGCATTGTCGAAAACATTGCTACAACAATTGAATGTCCTTTTATACTATGCTGTCGCAACATTTTCCTATAACGTTGTGCCAACGAATTCTCGTTTCTTCTGTTACCCTGTTGACATTTAACAGCCTCATCAATATACTCTCATTGATAATTTAAAAAAAATATTCGAAATCCATTTTTTTTTTTGCATCTTCAGTGAAGCATTTCTGCTGTAGTTATTGTTTTCATGCAGTTTTTGTTCCTTCTGCAATTACTTGAACCAGGAACGATTCCGGTATTGCTGCATTTTCCTTCTTGTGGGGCTCAGGTCCTCGAGAGCAGCTGAACCAGAACACGGCGTTCCTGGACGCTTCCCACGTGTACGGGCAGAACATTTGCGATGCGAGGAAACTGCGAGCATTTGTCGGAGGGAAATTGAATTTCACGGCTCATCCGACGAGGGGCAAAGAACTCCTTCCCGAGACGACGGAAATCAAAGAATGTCATGCTGCTTCCGGACATTGCTTCATCGGAGGTGACTCTTTCTCCATGAAATACAATATACGAGGTATATAACCACGGTGCAGGGAAAATTAAATTGACAGAAAATTAGGAAGAAGGCTAAGGAGTTCTCAAGAGAGCTCAAGTTAACTGCTGGTTCGACCACCGTATTTGCACGTATTTGTATTTGACCTTGCACGCGATTGAAGCAGATTGCTCAGCCATAGCCAAATATAATAGAGCAGAGGAAATAAAATAGACAAGAGCGCTTCGATATTTCCTTCAGATTCATAAAGCGACACTATCCGAATAATCGAGAAAATTCGTGTGATTGAAACATTGCATCTGTAACTTTAAAATATGACCGAGTCTGTCTGAAATGTATAGTTTCGAAAGAACTTCATCCTCTGCTGATATAAATATACTCATCACCCAAAAAAAAAAGCATGACCAAGAAGAAGCTGAGCGATCTTGATAATATTTGGTATTCAAGCTCGTATTAGTGTACTATAAAGTCGATTCGAGTTTCAATATGGTGAGAAGAATATTCATTGAGAAAACTTGCTAAACACTTCGATTTCAATAGGGACTATGGCATACTTATAACCCAAAACGGTCACACACAAGGATTTTATTGATGAAACATAGCAGAAAAACTCCTAAAGATTTGTAGAAAAATCGAGCAATCTCGTCCTTTGAATATGAGGGTCATTGGATGAGACAATGCAGAGCAAACTTGACATATGCCGGAGGACTGGGAGAAGAGTGGGCGCCAGTTACCTTTTCTCTTCCCCTCAGGCAACTTCTCCAAAGGACTGTTTAGAGACTAATTGCGAGGTAATGCCAAGATAAAATCTCTGAAGGCAACTTCAAGAAGCTGCTGTTTGATGATTTGATGTTGGTTCATTGGGATACATGCATCAACTTCATGGATCAGGCTGATGCATTCAAGTTGACGCAAGCCTAGCATTTCAAAGTACCCGACCCATTCTGAGTCGATAGGAGGTCATCCAGAGTAAATGCTAAGGATAGGAAGAAAAGTCTGCATGCACCAAGGAGGTTGGAGTGACAAAAGTGGTTGCGCGGATGGTCGCATGCTTCGCGAGTGCCCCCATCTCCTCTCGTCTCCTACTCGGTAGAATCCCCTCCTAATTGGAACCATCGAACGCAGGAAGGTATAATTTGCTCAGTTACTAACTATATTGCATGTGGGGATGTGCAGGAGACACGAGGCCGAGCGAGCAGCCTGGACTGGCCGCCATTCACACCATGTTCCTTCGGGAACACAACCGGTACGCCAGCGAACTGGCCGTCATCAATCCTCATTGGAACGACGAACAGCTGTACCAAAACGCCAGGAAGATACTCAGTTCCGCCTTTCAACATATCACCTTCAACGAATTCCTTCCCCGAGTTCTCGGGTGGAATGCCATCCGCCTCTACGAACTTGACCTCCTCCCTGAAGGATACTATGCAGGTAGAAAGAGCAGGATCGGGACATCTCTTGCGTTGCTAGAGAAATTTATTATAATAGTCTTGTACGATTTTTCTTTCTGCCTTATCTGGTTCTGAAAACACTACAGTAAGGACAGCGCTCCTGTCAGATGCAATTAAACCAAATCACGAAGTTCTTGAAATCGAATTGTTCATATCCATCATAATTGACATGCCTAATTCGCTCTCTTCGGTTATTTTTGCGAAGAACTAGTTAAAGGACCATCGGTGTAATGTGTATTCCATGTTAGGCTACGACCCGAAGTGCAATCCGGGGGCACTGAACGAATTCGGCGCAGCAGCATTCCGGTTTGGCCATTCTCTCATCCGACCACAGCTGCACCGTATGGACCAATTCTTCAATATGAAGGAACCCCACATTCAACTGCGAGATATGTTCAACAACCCTGACCGGTTATACGAGGTGAGATTTATTTATTTATTTATATTTTTTTCATGCACTTTTTTCCTATTACATTATATAGTGTACATCAGTCTGCCTTCGTTTTCACTTCCTACCTAATGAATTTCAAGGCACTGTTTCACTGTGGTCTATGTTGCAATATTGCCTTGTTTTCTTAAGAAACAGTTCATTTGAACAAGTTGAATCCATAAAAAAAAAGGGGGGGGAGGGGGGGATCTTCAATTGCATTTTTTTTATATTAAAATATTTTTGTGTTTCTCGCTCTTTTTCTTTCCTCTGCTGAACTATACCTTTGAAATTGCTGCAGGTGCAAATGTTGGACGAGATCATGCGTGGACTCCTCTCCGATCCCATCGAAACCCTGGACCAATTTGTTACAAATGAGGTCACTAATCATCTCTTTGAAGAGCCAAATCAAAGCTTCACTGGACTCGACCTCATCGCCATCAATCTTCAAAGAGGTTCTGTTCTACCTTCTATCTTCTTCGCATTTGAATGCGAGTATACATAGCTCTCCGTTTCCCATTCTAGGTGCTCGATCATAACAACCTGAGGCTTCTTTCTTTATATTTGCATTTCCCAATAGTGATAATCATTCCGACTCCGTTTACAATCAACATTTTGGCGCTTGCTATAGATAGAGAGAAACTATGTCAGTGATCTATGAAAGAATCGACTCGCACAAAATAAATAAAAGCCTCTGTTGAAAGAATGAAGGAATTCATTGAACAATTTCCTCTATTGCAGGCCGAGATCACGGAATAAGGCCATACAATGACTACCGGGTGATCTGTAACTTGAAAAGAGCGACGGATTTCGATGATCTGGCCAGGGAAGTCCCCCAGGAGGTCATCGATCGCTTCAAGCAAATTTATGCTAACGTGGATGACATTGACCTCTTCACGGGAGGTCTGTCCGAAAGACCTCTTGAAGGAGGACTCATTGGGCCCACTTTCGGCTGCATCATCGGGCTCCAGTTCCGCTTCCTTCGCAAATGCGATCGCTTTTGGTGAGCCTAACATCTTAACCCTCTCAAGTCCAAGGGGACGGAGGGAGCGGAGGGGGGGGGGGGGGGGGTTGCTTCAACTCACTACCTTCACTTTCCTATCTTACTTCAACCCCCTTGGTCTTCAACGATTAAAGGAAGAAAGAAAGAAACCTGACCTCTGATGTATTCGATGCCATCGGATGCCTAATTGACAGCAGGTGGGAAGAGATAGTAAATAAAATGGGGGAACATCGGCCCAATGACAATAACCTGAATTTCCTCCATCTTATTCGAACCTTTCCCCCCCAACTTTTAGCATACGTGGTTTCGACTTGACCTTGCCTAAGGAAGGTACCTTTATATTCATATTATATATTTATATTATCTCACCACGCAGCGTTTCAAGTGAGTTCTCCTAACTGATGAATTAATATTGGAAAAATAGGTACGAGACAGGAGACCCAGTGGTGCGATTTACCGAAGCCCAATTACGTGAAATCAGGAAGGCTTCCTTGGCAAAATTACTCTGTGAGAACTGCGATGTTGTGGACAGCATACAGAGACGAGCTCTTGACCTCCCACACCCATTCCTGTGAGTATCTATCTATCAGAGAGTCACATTTGTAAGGTTTATATAAGGACTGGATGTTGGCTGGTCAGGAACCCACGTATCGCATGCGGAGAGCTTCCAGCTGTAGACTTGAGAGCTTGGGCTGACCGAGGACCCCCAGCAGGAGGTTGCAACATTGGAGGGAAGTTCGTTCAAGTTGGACAGGCTGCTCTCCCATCCCCATGTGTTCAATGCACCTGCTCTACTGAAGGAGTATGTTACATAAGCTTTTAAAATCCACAAAAAATACAAAAAAGAGCTACATAAAAACATAAAATAAAACAATAAATGCAGACCAAAAAAGCTCATTAAACCCATTGGTTTCATTTTTACTCTGCTTTTAAGATACAAAAATTATAATCAAAGGAACCTTTATTTTCATCAGTGGTAGATATTATTTCCTGCAATACAGGGTATGGAATAAAAAAGCCCAACTATTCACTTAATTACCTTGACTGGAGTATTTTTAAAAAAACACAAGTCCAACTGATTCTCAAAATTTTACCAAAAATTTTTGGGTTGAAGTAATACTGTTCACAGTTATGCATAGTGAAAGCATCATGAAAATAGTTCCAGTGCGAGCAGAGATATTTAGTGCAAAAATCTGGTCATTTTCTTGCCATACATGCTATATGCTACTTTTATTTTTAAAATCAAGTTAATTATTAGGATGACAATTATTTTTTCAGCCCAACTGTCAATCACTTCGTATCACCAACTGCCAGCAATTGATTGCAACCCAACCTCGGGATGCAGTGATCAACGATAGAGTTTGCCGTGCACAATGTGGCCACTTACTTGTTGCAGAAGGGACAGAGCAGGGTCCATCACCTTCAGCTCCAGTGAATAGTTTTGTGGTTCCTCCCCCCCCTCCACCACCACCCCCTTCTCTACCAATCCAACTTCCACAAGTTCCTGTCCCACCTCAGCCTATACCACTACCACTACCACAGGCACAACCACAACCCCAACTCCAGCTCCAACCACAACAACCCCAACAGGACTCTCAAGTGTTTCGTCCATTTCGGCCTGGGAGAGGCCCATTGAGTGCTTTGGCTGCTCTATTCCGTGGATGAGAGGAAACTATTCTGCATGTGACATGGCTTGAACTCAATGGATTGCAAATCTAGTCCTCCCTCTGGCCCAATCACCATCCTAAAAAGTCTTCAACTTCCTCCAACCAACTTTGCTCTCGGTTGGCTGTGCCAATAACCAACTATTTCTGGAGTGTGTGCTTGCATCAGGACATTGAATGGATGGAGCACCTTTGTGATATGAGAGAGACTGAAGGGTGAACAAGTTGAATGGATTGTTGCTCAACTCAGGGTGTGTGGGGGGGATCATGCATGCTTCACAGTAGTGACAAATTAAATTTAGTGACAAAAAAATGACCAAGCCACAGAAAAAGGAATTTCAACGAATGTAATGGAGATAAGCCCTAGGTATATTTATTCAACTTCTGTCACATTGTCCCATTCATATCATTTTTGTTGTGCAACTCCCATGAAAGATGACTGAAAGCTGTACACCATGTGATTACTTTCTTTTTGCATGTATGCATGTTTTATGTTGACATGGCCAGCAAACATGTTGTTTCCTTTCACTTACAATGCCTACTTTTATTTCCTTATCATGCACATGAAGGACTCTGGCGAAGCTGTTTGATGAGTGAATGTGCCCTTTTCTCCCTGAGTCGAGCTCGAGCATGCTGTTCAAGGCTGCAATAAATTGAATGAGACAAACTAAGTACACAAGATGAGATTGGAATGCATACCTGAGGTTAAAGCAAATGGGGAGTAACTCACAGTCGCCTCCTCCTTTCCAGAGTCAAGGGATTTGGTCCTACAGGTTCCTTGATTGCATCTCGAATCATGGAGCGTAGTTTGTCCAAGCAGTCTGCCACGTTCAACTGCTGTGACTTGGTCTTCTCTGATTTCACAACAAAATATCCATCCTTGTTGAGGTGGTTTGGCTTCTGGGTATGAAAATCATGAATTATTTTTATAGAAATGTTAGGGTGGTGATCTTTGGTAATCAGCTAATGCAAGGATTATCCTAAACACTTATCATAGATGAAACAACATCAATGAAAAGCTGCTTCTTTAGATCAGTCATGGTTAGTATGCAAGAAAAAGTTCAATGCATTTTTTGGTTTGCAGAATTTAAACATGTTCTCAAACAACACAAATTCATAAAAGTTTTTTAAAGAGGCTCCCAAATGACAATTTGATCAGGTCATATAATCAGTTTCAAGAAATCAGGAGTTTGCTACATTTGCATTTTGTTTTTCTCCATGAAGATTTAAGACAGATTATGGATGCATAAGTTTCACTCAGTACTCTTTCTACTTCATTCTTGTGCTTCAGGAACAACAGAACAGAAAACTCATAACAGATAATTGTTCCATATCAGATGATGAAACAGGTGAAATGGATTTCAAATGTACCTTAGTGGTAGACATGCAATTACTTGCAGGTCTACCGTTAAGGTATACATGTAACTAATTAACCCTTTCACTGTTATGCAATAAAATATCCACCATAATAAAAATTGTGATAAAAAATTGAGACTGTTTACCTGAAAAAATGGTTTATGTAAAAAAAGTAATGAAAACTAATGAAGATAGGGGCTACATGCATAAATAGCAGTGAAATCATCTAGAAACGGTGAACGGTTAGTGCCCAAGAACTTACTTGGGCTACCACTACACAAGCCCAAATATGTACTTAGGTGATGAATGAAAGGGTTAAAAGAAAGCTCACTTTTAAATGTTTGGGTTAGGTCAGATACTGATGATTACTCATAACAGAACATTAATATAATGATAACCTCATTTAGAGGTGGTAATATGTTAATGTAATAATACTAATAACATATTAAGACTTTGATAACCAGTGCCACAACCAAGAACCAAAATTCATATTACCTTCTCTAAATGAGGTGGTGTTATGCATTTTCTTCTGTTCCATTCCAAAATGAGATCATTTTGAATAAATGAAATAAAAAACTGAATTTGATACGTAAAGTATATCTGGTAAAATATGAATGCCCAAACAATTTGCATGGTTATCGAGAAGAGGGACTCATATTTGGTTTGCTGGACTATAAACATTTGTTGGGCCAGAAAAAGCTAGTGGTATTCTGAAAATCTGCTGATGTAAAATTCCTGGTATTGGTTATGAAAACCTACATTACTACTATTAGTATGATAGAAAGGTTCTTTGCCACCCTGGCCAATTTTGCTATTTAAAAAAAGTCCAGAATTTCAGTCATTTGTGATTACTGGGTAGTGGAACTCAGCCCTTCCAGGCTGAAAGTGCTATTTATCCCATAGCAATGTTGCATGCAGGAGAATAACAATCACATGTGAAAAGACAGTGGTCTCAAAAAGTAAATGACTTTCCCTGCATATCTGGCCATCCAGGAATGAGTCAAATTTATGACATTATTTTGACAAATTAAAAACTTGCTGCCAATGTAGGGTACACATGCCAGTTTTTGGCCACACTAATATGATATGACTCCCATAGGAAGTGGATACCCTGTGCACACACTGGGAAACACTAGTAATAGGTCCTCAAACAGGAAGATGTTGATAGAATGCTTGAAAATGGCCAGATGAACTAATTATGCTGGATTTAGGCCTCAATGGCCTGCAACTGGAGACCAGCCAGAAACTGGGGTTGCTTACTCCATCTTATTTTCTCATTTTATCCCTTTGATGGTGTATTTAATTTTAATTTTTGGTTTTGGTGACATGTTTCTACTGCTTAATGGGAATAAGTTTGGGAAACTGTCACAAGGCTGTTTCAAATGATTAAAGGACTGGGGTTGAAAGTCACAGCAAGTTGAACAACACTAAAATTAAAGGATGTGGACAATAGATGAACTTCGCAGTGAGACACAGTTCAACTATATTCAAAGGATGCAGCAAAAGCATTAAGAAGGTGATATTACAAATGAGTACTCTAAAAGTGACATTTTTTCTCCTGTAGAATTAACGGTTTTACAGGGAATCATTACTTTGAGGGAACATAAATATTATAGGCTTGTTAGCAAGATATACAGCAAATTACTGAAACTAAATCATTTGTAATATGTCTCTCAACCCTGCCTGAGAAAAGCATAATGAGACTGATGCTAAATATAATTATCTATTATTATGAATTGAAAGATTTGTATCAAACTAAGAATATTCATCGCATTCCTTTCGCACTTACTTTTTCTTGAAGCTTGCTCTTCATGTAGTCTGACAGCCATTCTGCATTTGCAAGATGAAAACGTACATCAACCTTACTGCAGGTTTTATTGACATGTTGTCCACCTGGCCCACTGCTTCGACTATATGTGATGGACAAGGATTCTGAAACAAACCACATTAAAATTATATACTTAGGATTCTGTCTTTAAATCATATTTATGAACCATGGCCAGTGCAAATAATTTTTTGGAAGCATGTTCAAAATATTAAATTATCAATTACTTCCTGCAAAAGAAAGGAACTTGACACCAACAAAATGATACATGGACATCCTGAGGCAAGGTAACTGTGAAAAATCAAAGCAATACCTTTTTGCTATAACTCAGTCTGATTGTTTTCTTTTGTATGCATAAATATTCTTCAATGCAATATAAGCTCAATACTTGAGGCCCAAAAGGTACAAATGCATGATGCAACAGGAGTTTATTTAGAGTATAGTTGTCAAATTTGGTTCACTGGCTTTTGCCATAGGTTCCTGCATGAGTGATTTTTTATATTCAAATTTATCATACGAATGTCAGATATATATAACATTACAAGTAACTTCCATTGGACGAATGTTAGATATATCTAATGCTAAACACATGTCACATCAACAAGCTCCTCTGGTTCTTGGGTAGGCTTCTAACCCAAACAAATGATATATTTGGCAAAACCTTTGGGGTTTGAAAAGGCAAATTAATTTCCAGCCATGAGGGGACCAAAGTATTTAAAAACTCTGTACAATGAAGGTTAAGTACTCTCAGTGCTGGAAGAGTATTGAAGACCCAAACAGGTAGCAAGATGAGTCCAGCAGTACCTTATTTGCCTAAATTGGTTCTGTTACTGATTTTGGTTTGTCCATACACTTTGTATACGTAATTCTCATAACTTCCAAACTCAAGACCCCTAGAAGGTTCAACCCTACACAGAAATGAGTTCTCATTCTTCTATAGGGTAGTTCAAAAAAAAAAAAAAGGGAAGCCTTTACATTCATATGTGATTATAATAAACATGGGGGCAGCTATCCAACCTTGTGTTGCCTTGAGAAATATGCAATGTCTCTTTAATTCATTAGCACTAGGGCTGTCATGATAGCAGTTTTCAAAACATTGATGCATTGACCTGAACTATCAATGGTTTATCGACGCATTGTGGGGGGGAGCGGAGGATTCAATCTTTTCTTGTCACAATCGGACAGAGGTTGGTCTTCCATCATTTCTTGCCTCGATCAGAGCATGGACTTATTTATATCTGTCTTTCATAACCACATGCTTGTGATCAGGAGAATGTGTGACCTTCACAAGAAGAAATTAAACCTACCATGCCTCCAACTATCGAAGATGACATCCATTCATCGATGAATGCATCTGACAGCCCTAATTTTTCCTTATTGCCATTGAGAATCAGTTGCCAAGCCTGTTCACTCCATTTTTTCCCTCTTTTTCTTAATTCTGCATGGTCTTCTTTGGACATTGGCACCAGCAGATAGCAAACCTGCCAACAGTGCCATATCAGTGGTTGCCGAAATATCGGTACAGTCGATAATAGGCATCATCCAGGTGAAATGTGTTTTTGAGTTCACCTCAAGTAAAGAGATAAAATGTCCCAGGGTAAGTTAAAAGTTTTATTAAGTTAAGCCTGTATGCTAAAGAGAAATACAGGAATATAGAGAAGGGATTAACCAATGGGAGTATATGAACTTTCGCAGCATGCACCTGATGAGATTAAGCTGAAACAGGAAAAAAATTTGTATTGGTCTTCCCTCCCTCTCCTTTCCCACTTCCTGTCTCTGATCCAACTATTTTTTTTCTAATCTGTCTTTCATATATTCAGTCCTAGCATTTCCAGAATTATATTGTGATAAATTGCAAGCCCGTGCGGGTCACACTGCCTCTTCCTTTCCCTGTTCGGATGTACTGTATTCACCTCAATCCAATGGGACATTTCCCTGTAAAAATTTTTTGCTGATACATCGCAATGGTAAAAAAAAAACTATTGATACCTTAAACTGTCAACAGTGTTATTGATGCACTGATCTGTCGTTGTCTATCGTGACAGCCGTAATCAGTAAATACTCAATACATCCTCCTTTCTATACATTGTTGTCTTGTCTTGTGTGCCATAATTAGTGGAGGGGCATGGCTTGCCAAGAATCAACTCATTCAATTTCCTTCAATTCCTCAATGCTCCAGAAATTGTTTTGGTTGAACTTTTCTCACAACTTGGTAGAAAGTTTTGAGGAAAGTAAATAACAGGGTCTGCATTCTTAAAAAAAAAAAGGAAAAAAACTTATTCATAATTTGCCAGACATTGGCAAAATATCAGGTCCAAACTTGGTCTTCCAACAAGATGATGACATGTTGGGCAATAGTTTACTTCCTACAAAATGACATACTGGGTGTTATAAAACTTCACATGTAGTCACCCAAGAGCCCCAATGCAAACCCTGTTGATCACTTTGTATGGGTAAGCTACAATGAAAGTTCAAATTTCAGAACATCAAAGACCTGAATGAAATTGAATTAGTCGATTCTTAGCAAGTCATGCCCCTCCACTTGTTGTGGGGCACAATATGACAGGGTTGAACACAATGGCAAGACACCACTGAGTAGAAAGGACATGCAGATTGTTTTGTATTTATGAATTCAAAAGGCATTACATATTTTTTTTCTTTTTCTTTTTAAAAGACAGGACATGCGGTGGACACAATGGACCTATCCCAATACACTGAGGCCTATTGGTACACAGTACACTAGTACACAGAGACCTATTGCAGTACACAGGGGTTGCCCTCTTGGTACTGGCACCATATCCACATCACAGTCCCTCAGGCTGGAACAGACAGCTGAACAGTCCTAAAGGAGCAGCTCATGGGCAGCCAAAGCCCATGACTGGCATGAGTGATTTTTAAGATGAACTGCATCCGTATCTCCCTGATATGGCACACAGAGTGACGTGTATTATCCCACACTAAGCAGACACTCCTCATGAAAGCAAGCGGGTCATTTGTGGCAGAGGAAGAACCCACCACCACCCAGACTCGATCCCTTGAAAAAGGAAAAGTGTACCCACTTCGGAGTCTTAGCATGAAATGCTCACAAGACTTTTGATGGTGGAATTTGCATGGGAAGGGCTAGATTCCTCTGTGATTCTTCCTATAAGGCACTAGCATTATTATTAATAATTTATAGACAGAGGGGATTAGAAAATAAGTTCACTCACTTATTGGTATGTATCCTGAGAATGTCTTCTCATCAACAACTCCATTCACCTGAGTGAGAATAGGACAAAACAGAGAAGCTGATAAGATAAAACAGAAAAAAAAAGTGCAAGGAATTCATGTCAGACTATTTAATCAAGAGAAGCTGGCTCAGCTATCTCAGCTCCAAGAGATCATACCACTCCATGAAAATTCATCTTTCCCAATTTGCACAGCAAAATCCCCCACTTACTTTTTCAAGCACATTGTAGTTTAGCTCTTAGACATGTACACCAGATTAGAGAAATCTGTTAGTTGATCAATTTCCATTCATTAGCACTGCCAGCCAGTCTGGGAGGAATGAGAATCATCACTCCCACCTGGGAAAATTTGGTTGTCTTAGAGAATCTACCTCGGTAGGCAGATAGCCTCTTGGTTGAGGCTAGGCTGACTGTATCAAGTTGCTTTTTCTCTTCCATAAGTTCTGATCCCTTGCTACTAGGTGTTAGAAAGTCCTAAATCTCAATGTTTCAAGTTGGCTGCTTGGGTCATTTAACTCTGAAAATACTTCTGAAAATACACCATAGACAGAGGTAAACCTACCTATAGGCCTAGATGCAGCAAAACAGGGGTCAACACACTCAGAAATGAATGATTGCTCAACCTTGTTGTCACCTTGTAAATAGTCACCCCTTAAACACAGTAACTATCACAATCCTGATTATTTTCAGCAACAATGATCCAGTAAGGGACTCCTGAGCTGAACTTGTCATATCGATCTTGGTTCTTCTTGGTTACAGCCTCTATGACATGGTAAGACCCAAGATACTATAGCCTTCTAAATCATTTGGGTATCCTAGTGAAATACATTCCTATCAAAACTTATGTGTCCATACCATATATTTATAGACAACTAAGCCTTGAGCTTTCTCTGATATTTGATTGAAGTCTCATGAGCAGGCTGATAAAATAAGTTCTTGGCTGGAAATCTACAAATTTGGGGCTAACATATTCAGCACCCAGATTCCATTTGTCAGTTTAGGTAACAACTCATCTGCAATTGTCTTTAAGTTTTGTGATACATGGGTTCACGTTGAGGGCAACTTATATGAGAAAAATCACAAAAGAACTAAGTTCAGGCAATCCAAATTGGTTCAATTTTTGTCCAAGATAATCAGTGGTCACAGTTTTTACGATGATTGCTAAGTTGGCTGCTGGAAATAGGCAATCTGATGTTTCTGGATGCAGGCCCAAGTTCCATAACTCTAGATCAGAGTGGACTCTGCTGGAGCTGAGTTGAATCAACCATGTGTCTAGGTGAGGAAACTCATTCTTCCCTGGCTTTTGACAGCATAGAGATTGGCCAGTGAACAAGTTGTCTTCATCTGCTTCTGACTGATGGGCTACAGAAATTAATGAAGAACTGCTTCTCAAGCTACAGCCCCCCCATTTGATACAGGTAAACCTTGTTAATTCAATATCAGATTTTTTCAAGTTTGAAGTATCAGATACTTTGAAGTCATCTGTGATCACCATCTGAGAGGATAGTGATTCGTATGTTTTATAGCATGGACTATTCAAAATAGGGATAATATGAAATTCAAAGGCACTTTCTGGTCCCATATAAATGGGACCATATACTCATAGAAATATGTTAATTTACTTCAAACGGCATTTCCCTGTATGACCTACAGATAACCTGTCTCAAATCTCACAATTCAAGTGGCTAGCTAAGGGGCAAGCTAATTACCTTCTTGGAAACAAAGACTTACACTCCTTTCACTAAATCTTTCCCTCCACCCTTACCTGTCTGTATGCCTTTCTCAAGTAACCATAAGAAATGAAACCAACCAAAGAATATGAAAAAGATATTGCATGACATGATTTAATTTTGTTTCCTGCTGATGTGGTAATGTCACTCATTAACACCAGTATCA